CTGAAGTGTAGCAGAAAGATAACCTACATTTGTTTTCCATGTCAATCAGTACAAACAAAGCAAATAGACTATGTGAACAAGAAAACCCACTTTTTTCTTGTTCACTTAAGAGTAGGACAGTAGTTTAGAGCCTAATCTGGAAAATGGTACTTTTTAACCACTAATTTTATTTATTTTTCTGGTATCAATAACCCCCCCTCACACACTTGTTTGAATATTGTGGTATAGAATAGAGACTAATTACTCAGGGAAATGGATGAATCAGGTTGATAATCTGCTAATACATTGTTTGGTTTTCCTTGCAGATAGTTATTAAAAAATGTAGTTCCATTATAGTCCTTCATGCAATTACTCATGTGGATATGGTTTACATGAATAAAGACTACTTATGTGCCTGCTTTGAAAGACTGGGTCACTATAGTATTTCATATGGGACATCTTCCTTATGATACCCAAGATGACAAGAAGGCCAATATTAGATGTAATATGAATTGAAACTCATGGCTAAGAGTAATTTCCATTCCTCTCCTTATTGCTGATCTGTTGCTTCTTGTTTCAACTAAAGCTTTGTTTTTGTGAAAAGCTTTGAAAACCACACAGACACAAGCAAACAAAGCTTTGCACACTTTACATAGTCTCTCTGAGCTCAGAGGAATTACCTGAAATGGAATAAAATAACATACATTTATTTCATGTAAGAGTGCAGAGCTGCAGTGCTCGTAAGCAGATCTAGGAGCTGGTTTCTGCAGAAGGAGATAATCATGTACCCATGGCTGCCTGCTCCTGCTGCTTCCCTATGGCTGAAACTGCTTCTCACTAGTCTCTGCACCTAGTTTTGGGAGGTAAACCAGTAAAGAACTAACCCTACAAAAAAAAGGGGATATTTTTCTGCCGGTCTAAATCCCTGGCTTACCATTGTCACTGTCAAATGACAGTGTTCATGCAAGCAAGGGATGAAAGAGTGCGGGAAAAGGGACAAAGGATCTTCTTTTTCTTCCAGTAGCTGTTAGTCATTAGATGGGTTTAGCTGTATTACCCAGTTGTGCCAGCATCTTTGCAGAGAGTGTATAATAGAGCCTTTTTGATTTATTTTTTCACTGTTTGTACATGGCTACTGCAATGATGGGGAACCTGAGGACAGAAACAGTCTGTGACTTTATTTCATCTAGGCCATGGCAACGTGATTTCTTCCACTTTGTTAATGGCCAGTGTATGTGTTAATGCACGACCTGTGCAACTTTCAGGAAAGAAAAGATTCAAATGGCGGAGCAGATGGACATCAGAATTGAACATGAATGTTTGAGTGGCGAGGGCAGGATGTGGCGATCGTAACGAACAGTGGAATTCAGAAGACTTTCTTTGATTTAATGCTGGGTTTGTGTATAACACTGTGTCTATGCTAAATACCTTATATTCTTATTTGTGAGTTGCAAAATAATAATCTTGAACAGTAACTTTCTCCTCAGCAAACTTCCCACAGAAATAGAGGAGTAAGGGCCATAACTTAGGGCTAGATGTACTTTGCAAATATGACTGAAATGTCATTCCCCTGAAGGAAAGACGTTTAGAGTTGGAACAAGAATAGGTAGCATTTATAGGTATTTAAAGGTCTTTGCTGAGTATGTTTAAACATACTCTTTAAATGAATTCAGTTTTATGTAAAATGAGGAATAATAATTACTTAGCTTTATTTTTTCCAGGAGCATGATTATGAACACTTAAGTTTTTGGTGTACCAATATCACTGATTTATGAGATAGCTGTTCATGATTTCACTACATGAAAAATGCCATAAAAGTGGCAGGTTAATTACAGCATATACTGTTAATGGGTGAGATACGGTTATGTCTGTTTTCCAAGTTAAGCTTTCATAATACAGTGTTACATCTTCTGGAACATAAAATATACATATATTAAGTTATGCGTAATTATCAGGAAAACTTTACAGTCTGTACACATAGATATTGCTGAGTCTCTTTCTTCAGTCCTCCTTCACATTGATTTCTGGAAGGATTACTTGCATTAGCAGAGAATGGAGGACTGAGTGTTTGCAGTGGTTTTGAATAATGAATTTCTGTAGGATTACAGAAATGACATTCAGTTCCTCAAACATTTTCTGCAAAGCAAGCAGCATACTTTGAAGTCTGTGCTAGGAGAAAAAGAAACAAAACCAAAATGTGAATCTCTTAAAGTACTATCCTCCTTTCGTGGAATGGTTCAGTGGCTTAATGAGGTTAATTTGTATTAGGTTGTGGGAAATCCTTTATCTACTGTATAGAGACTTTCATTTCACATGAATGTGACAGATACTGTACTTACTGCAATGGAACTTAATTATTTGATAGTATAAGGAGCTGAAACCCCTACATTTCCTCTCAAGGAATATTCATTGCATGCTCTAGATGGTAAATAAAAACTAGGGGATGGCTGGCCTAGTTTTTAAATGTTTGAAATATCTTTGTATACTTTTCTACATTATTTCGGTTTTATACCTAGAAAAATCCAAAGCAGCTTTATTAAAGATACCCCAAATACTATCAATAGTATATGATTATTTTTCTCTTTCTCCCATTTTTCACGTATCTTTTCACTCTTTGAAATGCTTTTCTATATTGTACATGAATGTGACCATTTCATTTAATTGCACTCTTTTTCCATTTTCTCTCCCTAATTACTACAAAACAAGTCTTCCAAAAGTTTTATTCCACTGTGAACATTTCCCTTAGAGAATTGTACAACAGTGCTTTTATCTGGCTTCCATTCCAGATGGCTTTTGGTGCACATTGTACTTTATTTTCTTTTAGCAGGTATATTATGGCATTTCTGTAGACCTGGTAGAGCAGTGTAAAGCTATTTAATAAGATAGGAAGGAGACAGAATTTTGGGATCAGTGATACACATCAGAATACAAATAAGGACTGAAAACTAATAAAGTGAAAAATGAAGTGTGATGAAGTTCACATCCTACTACTAAGTTACTTTTGTAGATTCAGTGTCTGGGTTTTTTATGTACCTTTCATAAAATACACATTAGTGAATTTGTGTTAGCATGTGTGAGTATAAGATGTATAATGGCCTATCAAAATAAAAATTAATGTGAACTCACAAAAGCATCATGTGTTTGCTTTAGTATATATTATACTTTTGAAATATATCCTAGAATAATTTTTTACCATATTCACAAATAAAAAACCTTTATAACCATTTTATTGAGAAAAAGGAATGTATTTATTTAAATTGTTTTATTGGCATGTATACCAGTGAAATTGTTTGGAAAATAATTAAAAGTAATTTTTACAGCAGACTCTACTAGTAGCCGTAAAAATACTTGCTCGTCATCAAAGATATGAAAATACCAGAGATTTCAAAGGTCAGGCTGATGAATTGCTTTCTTCATCCACTATTGAATTAAAATGAGAAATAGTTAAAAAAAAAAAAAGAAAAGCATTTTTATGAAAAAAAAAAAATTCTTTCTCCTAGATTGCTGATTTGAATGTAACATTTCAGCATATCACAATATGGTCATGGGTTAATTGTTCACATTGTGATATATCATTTCAACTGTAGTACAGCATGATGTGATGGAGTATAATCTAACCTGACATAGTACAATGCAGTGAGTGATGACAAAGATCACAGACTGTTCAGTGGACTTTGCTCTACTGAAAAATGCATAATTGACTGAATGAAATGTTTAGTAGTTTATGTTTTGTTGATGAGAGCCCAAAGTCTAATTGCTGCCTGTGGCTTTTGCCTCTAGGCATGTTCTTGGGGTCCATAGCCTACATCAAGTTTGGTTTCCTTGCTCAGGTGTTTTGGGAGCTGATACTGTGCAATAACAACTGAGTGGATCCAGAGATCAGTGTTGAACTCCTGAAAGCCTGTTCGTAGAGCCTTCTTCTCATGGAAGCTGTCATTTATTGTTTGCCATTAGGGATATAAAATGTAGCTGAAGCATTCCGTACATAGGCTTTGCATACAAATGTTAAACAGTAGCAGGGATAAAGGCCTTAGGGGTAGTATTAAAACACGTATTGCTTTGCATAATTAATATTCTTCTCTGTATGAGGCTGTAGGTCAATATCAGCTAAAGTTCAGATTTATTTCTTTCTTTCTTCTGATAGAAATGAACTATCCCCAGAAATATTTAGTCTTGTATCAGTAACCAGTGAAAGTTCAGTTAATGTGACTACAGGTGCTTTGGTACCTGGATGCTGAACCAGAAAGGGTAGTCTTGTAGCTCCCTCTTACCAAATTGGTCCTCTCATAGGACTCCAGTAGCATGATTCTGGTGATCAGTTGGAGTAGCATGGGTGGGGGTAATGGGTATTGGATATGGGATAATGGAGATTGTCCTGTTGCCTCCCATGTTTGAAAAATTTGGTTCCCTGTGCTCCCAGACTTACTTTGCAATGCTGGCAGACAGATTTAAAATATGATTCCTTAGTAGATTTTTTTTCTGGGTTTTGTGTGAGGGCTGTCCCTATATCCTGCCAGTTCTTCTCTGTCCATCTGTAGGAAGGTTTTGAGATGTCATATTGAAAACTGCATCTGCCCTGGACATAAAGTCTGGAGATACAGATTCTGAAAATATATGTATGTATGAATATTTTAACATGGATACACTTCCATTTCAAATTTTCTCCCTCAGGGAAAAGAAAAAAAATCTTGGTAGAGGTTCACATCTGTTCATAGGAGTCCAGAAATTAATGTCGTTTCTAGGTTAGTTTTGTAATGTTCCTGCTTCCCACTGCACTGTAACGGTCCTGTATGCAGCCTTCTCCAATTGTTCTGTTTCTGCCTGAGATAGTGCTACTACATTTGGAAAAGAAAGCAGCTTTACATTCTAGTGTTAGTAGTATTGTAATTCTAGTTTCATGCATGGCAGATTGCTTTACAGAGCCA